CGCAATAACCTCTTAACTGCTTCGAAATTAATGGCGGACGATCCTTTCCGCGCGTCCCACGTGTGTCATATTATATATATATATATATATTTCGTTTATTCATAAAATATCATTCATTTAGATAAATACGCGCAAGAGATACCCGATTTGCGGAAACCAAACGTAGCGTTTTGGTTCGACGCTCCGACACGCCACTGACCTAGCCCATGGACGCGCCAGGAAGTGAGGTTATGTTCGAAATATTCACTAGGAGCGCTACACGGCCTACGCGAATCTATTTCCAGAGAGATACCGCCAACGGGTAGCAGTGTGCCTAGAGATAGAAGTGCACTCGTCCAGTATATCATGTATCAATTTTTAATTCGCCCACAAACTGCAGCACCGGAAGCGTAAAGTGACGAAAAGAAACCGCGGCGTCTCTTGCTCTACGCTCACTTTGAGACGCTCCCAAAAATTGCATAAATGCGTGGAAGACAAACCAGCGAAGGAAATTATTATTGTATATGCACTCGACCAGTATATCATGAATCAATTTATAATCTGACTGCAAACTGCAGCACCGGAAGCGTAAAGTGACGAAAAGAAACCGCGGGGTCTCTTGCTCTGCGCTCACTTTGAGCCGCTCCCAAAAATTGCATAAATTCGTGGAAGACAAACCAGCGAAGGGAATTATCATTGTACATGCAATGAAGCTTTACAAAATCTGTAAATTATTAAAACTAAAGTAATAAATAAGTTGCGTATTAAATTAGCCAATTAATAAATATAAAAAGAAACAGAAGAGCGGGGCAAAGATGAAGCGCCACAGGTTCGTCCATAAATTGTTTATTAATTGTCAGTTTACAGATGGTTAATCCTTGCTAATTTGACGTTATGTCGTTTTCTTCTTGATCTTGAAAAATGAAATTGGGTTACAAAGAGCATTAGTGATAAAAATATTATTGAATAAAATGGTCCTCTTTCGTTAAGGGTAGCGATCGGTAAAAATCGATAAAAACGCATGAACGATGAGCATTCCTATACATATGCATAATTTCATGTTTGCCTGCCAAACATATGGCAGGGAGCAGCGGTTGGTTTTTTTCCCTCCATTTTTTCAAATTCACCAGCGGAAAGGCTGCGGCAGGAAATGACCGAAGCCCTGGAGGGGTGTCGGAGTAAAAATCGGGGGGATGTCCCGGGCTTTAAACTCGAGGGGAGAAAATGTCCTCCCCGAGCCGGAGGGTCGTTATTTATATTTCGTTATATTTATTTCCGGTCGGGGAGGCCGAAGAAGCTACTTCTAGCGTCGTTAAAAGTGCCCCAGGGGTAGATACTCATCTCGTTCGTTGCAGGGTCAAAGGTCGAACATGCAAGCGTGACGACCTACGAGGGAAACGATGAAAAAACGAATCCAGCCTCCCGATGGGGGAGATATGCCAAGGAAACTGGCGAAACTTCCGATTTTTATGCCGACTCTTATCCGAATCACCGATCGGCGAATGTGAAAAATAGGGAGAAAAAAAAAACAAAGAACTGGAAATAAATTGGGGGAACTAACGAAGCATTTGTTGCATTTGATTTACTACACCTCCTACCGGGTCTCGATAAGGTGATATGAAAGGGTCAATAAATATATACAAACGTCAAAATATTTATACAACTTTTCTCCAAACTGAATCCACCAAATCGTTCGAAACTTCAGCGTGCGATTATGGAGGCCCTATTTCACCTTCGATAAAAATGATTTATTTTTGCATCTCAGACTAGAGCCAAGAATACATGTATATATTTTTTGTTTTAATGAAATTTCATGAGCACCACGTTCTTCCTCAGGACCTCTATAATCACATGCTGAAGTTTGAAACGATTCGGTACACCCAGTTAGGAGAAAAGTGTCATGAACGATCGACTCTTCATATCCCACTACCATATCACGTTAAGAACTCGGCTGAGTTTCGCACCAAATGCACGCGTACTCGGTCTCTTATCTGCGATATTTAGCGCGAGGCGTCAGGTCGAAGAGATATAAAATCGGGAGATATTACACAACACTTATTATCCGATTTACTTTTTCCTCGTCACGTGCGAAGGTGTCAGAGAACAACCGATGTCGAACCTCGTGCAGGAGGATCGAGATATCGATATCCTTGTATGGATCGGCAGTTATTATCTAGTCTATGGATTTTTAGGGGCAGATGCGGTTTTGTCCCTCTCTCTTTCCTTCGGCTCTGAGAGTGTAAGAGGGAGAGAAGGGAAACTGTATGGAGCAACACGGAGTGCAGGAAACGGGATTCGAGGCGAGATGGAAAGTGAATTCGAGGGATCCAGTCCTCGGGATTTCGTCGTTTTTCTTGCCGTATCAATTGATGTCTCCTCGGGAAGTCGCGAAAGGACGATCCTCGATCTAATCCCGGTTTTCGGACGTTCGTTCCCGGTTCCAGGGAATACATTTCAAGGTCCGTTGACATGCAGGAAGCGACAGTTGGCGCGCGATTTAGCATACGTCGGATCCGAGGAACCATCGCGCGCGGACCGTGAAGGAATGAATATGCATCCCATTCATAAGTTCCCGGCAAGTTCGTTGTCGGCACCCCCGACGAAGTGTCTGGACTTGCAAAAGCATTTCCCGAGCCCCCCGACACGTCCTCGACACCCTGCGAGACTTCTACAAGGAATTAAGGTGAAGTGAAACATCCTTCAAATTAGTCGATTCGAATACAACACTTTTTTTTAAGGGTATTAGACCAAACTGTCTAAAACTTTGACACGTCACTCCTGATCATCTAAGAATTGTCCTGACACATTCAAAATTTGGATTTTCCAAACAAATTTTTTAACTCAGTTCAGACCAGAACCAAAATGGCGTCGAGCTCTGATATTTCGATCAATATACAATTATCGAAAGCTCTGATATGAGAATCGAAAGGGTCAGGACAATTTTACGACAATTTGGAACACTCTGGTAATCGATAACCTCGCATTTGAACGGGATAAAGGCAAAAAAAGTGTTGTATGCGCTTCTTTGCTAAAACGATGGTAATACGAGGTCTCGGAGTGAAAATTTAATTGACCTGGAAATCACAGATGACGCAGGGGGTCCCTCCGCAGTCAATTAGGGCCCCAGAAAGCATGAATCCAGAGGATTTATAGAGTTTTACTTCGATTTCTTCATAATTATTGTACGAAAACGACAGGTGGAGTATGCCGTTTGGTACAATACCCAATATAATTCGACACGGCTCAATATAAAAACGAACGTCGGCAACGTAGGCATTTAGAAAAATCTTCTTTATCGACGTTGATCGAGTTCCTCGACGTGTTTCACTTCACCTTAAGCCCAGGTAATTAAGAGCCAGGCATCAAAAAATGCAAATTCCCATTTCAGTTATTAGACAATAAATCTTCACTTTCGTCATATCTCAGGTACACGCATAATCTCTCATTTTAGGACAGGACCTTTTAACCACACGAGACATGACCCATCCTACTTTCTCGATTCCCAAGAAAAAAAAAAAAGGAAGAATTCATTGAACCAAAGAAATATCTTGTTAATTCCAAGAATATTTATTCGATGCAAATAAATCGAGGTAATTCCGAGTAAATGTTCCGTTCAATATTCCTCGAGTTTGTTCGAGTCGAATAATTGTCCTTGGGTTTAGCGAAATATTTCTCACGGTCAATTAATTTCTTTTTTTTTTTTCTCTCTCCGCAGTGCCACAATAAATGCGATTCGCTCTTTACAAAGTGTCGGAATTTTACCGAGAGAGTCGGAAATGTAAAGTATCGTAGATCCGGTTAGCACGTGCTCGTCGGGGTGCGATGTGGATTTCTCACCCTTTGCACCTGTGCGGACGCAGATTTAGCCCCAAGCCCTCGACAAGGAGTGCAAACAGGGAGGGTCAAGACAAAAGGGACGGTGTTCGCCCGTTCCAGTTATTATTGCGTTTGAATTCCCTCGGTGGCACTTAATTAGCCCTTCTACCGGCTTTTCCTGAGGCGCACCGAGGAGGACACGCCGTGGTCTCTATACACTCGCCTGGCACGCACCAACCAAGCCAGTACCACCGATACTTCTTTTAAAATAATTTCTTTAAAAATGCGTAATTAATTTTAAAATAATTTAATTAAAAATGCGTACCAAATGACTTTCGAAAATCGTTTACAATTCTTCTACGAAGTCTCACAAAGTTACAAGACGGTGTTATAAAATTGCAAATTTACTTATAATCATATAATAAATGTATACTGATTCACTATTGAGACATGAAATTTATAATTTTACTGCAAGGTTATCTACCAAAAATGTATGAATTTTTTTAACAGTCTACGTTTCATTTCCTCGGTAACGACCCAACGCGCGGATTAACCGATAAAAGGGCTCGCCATGAGATAATTCGCGTAATCTCTGCCAACCTGACCTTGAATTGCGATGCCGAAGAGCTGCGTCCATTTACACGTAATCGAAGGTTGATTCGCAGTCTCCGAGGTGAGGAGAGGTAGGAAAGGCACGAAAAGGTACGGAGGAGAGAGAAAGGAGAGGTGCTCGAGTGAGCCGCATCTTTTTACTGCCGTTCCACGAGAGCTCTGCGTTTGTGAGAATTTCCTTCGACGGTACTTCTCACTCCCGTTGTTTCCCAGGTCCCACGGGTGAGAGGATCGCTCTCGAAAGTAATCTTCGGCTCGGAGATCTCGAGGAAGTTTAGAGACGAGCCGGTCGGCCTGGCTGTCGAAGAGAGGAAACAAAAGGAGCGAAAGTACGCCAGCGCAATTTCGCGGGCACCTCGGCGAGCTGCGGACGTGAAGTTAAAAAAAAATATATATATACATTATTTGAACATTGCCCAGGAAGTTTGGATTTTCCTGCGGTACGGTGAAAAAAGAAAATTCCCATGGATCATTTCGATGCCACAATTGATAACAGTGAAATTACATTGTCTGGGTAATATCACACTCGACATCTAAATTTACACAAAGAATATATTCTAGGCGTACATTTGATATGTAAACATAAAGTGCGACACACGTAAAATATATAATTGGTCTATATTATATGTGTAAATTTGGTGTAATATTGAAGGGCCTCATATGTTAATCCAGACGTAAGCTTATTAAAACATATTCTACATAAATACGTAACCATAATTATTCCTGCGTAGGTATTTACTTCTTTCGCGACTGATGCAAATCAATTGTAAGTACAATTTCTCTATGATTGTACTTTTTTTTTTCTTTTCGGTGTATGGGGAAGCAAGGAGTACAGAGAGTCTCTCGGAAGTGCGCTTGGCGAGAAATCGGGAAATTATTAAAAATATCGGAAAAATCGAGGAAAACGCACCGGGACACCGTGTGCGAACACGAAGGACGCGTTCGTCTTAAACATCTGATATAAATTGCAGGCAGATACTCGTTATTAACGAGCCATTATGCAATCCGCCGATATAATAGCCCCGTCGCTCGGTAGACGCGCTCCTCGCCATCACGGGGAGTAACCGGCGTCCCGGCTGAATGAGAGAATTCAAATCCTGATAACCCCACTTGACGTCTTATTGGGTAATTATTTAATTCAATTTTTTCCTTCTCATTTGGCTTGCTCATTTGCCGGCGCACTTTCGGGCACTTAGTCTGCGACCCTACTTAAACGGACGCGTGCAGACACGGCGGGTCCTAGACGCGTGTAACGTAAATTTCCGCCTTACTCGACGCCCGTTAAAATCCACAATTTTATAGTTAACGCCTCTAATGAGCCGGATATATAATTTGCAAACTCCGGTACGGGAAAAAGACTCGAGGAATTATCCGGGGCCATATCGCACCTTGGTAACGAGTCCCTTCTCGGGGCCGTAGTAATGGGCCTTAAATTTCCTTTTATGCGCAAGGTACTTACGCCTACGCGAGATGTCTGACCAAGATATGACAACGTTTCTCCCAGGGTGCAATATTGTACATGCCGGAGCACGGCAATCCGAGAAATTACTGGAAAACATGTTTTACAGAGCGCCGGTATAAAAGTCAGCCGAATACATTTTGCAGGAATCACCGACATCGCCCGGAAATACATAACGATTGCCATCGGTTCCAGAACCATACCATACAAAATGCAACATATTATATAAAATCTATCCTCATTCTTTGATACATCTTACGAGCCCTATTAATCAATTTATACATTTCTTAAATTTCTCCTCATGAAATTGATTAACATGACATTTCTTAACAATGATTAATCAATCTCGGACCGTTGCCAGTTTGCGTATCACCGACAAAAATTAGTCCGAAGATTAAAATCCGCAGTCAGGTAACTTCGGGAATCGAGCGGTTAACTCTAATCCCGGGTTAAGTAATCCTCGGTTAAGGATTTTAACTCATCTACAGAGTTTACAAGCTACAGCTTCAACATGGGTACCGAGTTATTGATGGAAACCAAGATTATGTCTCCGTTGCATCGTACACTGCACCGCTGCATTTAGCAATTGCAGTTGGAACATCCGCACTTTCTCTTTGTCTAAGTACTTCGCAAGGCCTGGTTAAATTCACCTCGGAAGATATTGTTTCCACGCAGGAATGCAATCGCCGTTAGACTGCACTCTGCCCCTTTTATCACATCCACAGTATCCGTGTTCTACCGAGTGCACACAAGCAACCAATTCCCGTGAGTTCCTCTACGGCAAGCAGACTTTCACCACAGGCGCGCGTTGCATTTCCTTCGCTGCAGTTGCACCGCGACTAGGAAAAACCTTCGGTTCGGAAAAGTCGAAAAAATTGCTACATACATCGGGCCGATAGTGCAGAATATAACACAATTCCCGGGTTCGCTAAACTTCAGAAGTGGGATGGAGGACAAAGGCTTCGCGCAATAAGTCCTTGGTCTAACGGGTGTTCGCGCATGCGCACTCCGCGCGAATCTAGGCTAGTCAGTTGCATCCGAGTTTCAGCCAAGTGAGCTGCATAGGTCAGTTGCATCCGGCCCCTCGCAGCTCGTCTTCTCTCCCGTTTTCTCCTCTTCCCCCCTTTTCTCATTTTCTCTTATCCTTTCTTATTTCCCTTCGACCTGCCTCATTCTCCGCTCCCTGATAACCCTGCATCGCCAACAACGAGAGAGGTTAGTTTAGATACAAATTGCTCATAAATTTCAGGAAACTCGGAAAAATCCCTTGATTTTTAAAACTCCTCCACAAGGCGCTATGAAAGGGTCATTCTATATATATGTATGCAAAGCGTCAAAATACTTACAAAAATTTTCTTACGAACGCGATGCTCGTGAAATTTAATTAAAAATATATATGTATCCTTGGTTCTAGTCCGGGATAAGTGAAGAATTTTTTTTTTCTCGAAAAATCAAATTTCTCGTTCTTCCTTAGGGTCTCCATAATCACGCGCTGAAGTGTCGAAGGATTCGGTGCACCCAGTTTGGAGAAAAGTTTTATAAATCCCTTTGACGTTTTGATATACATCGAATAGCACTTTCGTGACGCCCTAAGCTGGGGAATAACGTAATAAATAAATTACTGAATAAATTTGGAGATTGATAAGTGAACAAGTGGTGAAACGTGTGTCGAGAAATCCTGCCCAAGGATATCGAAATATCGAAGAGCGCATTCGTCTGCACAATTTGCACCTACTCCCATGGCCGGATTTATCAGTCGAAACTGCCGCTTAGAAGTCGACGTTGTGTGTTTCCAACGTGCTCTCAATGCAAAACAATACCTATCTTTATCGACGAAAACGTGGAGAACAATAGTGCACGTGCGGTTTGTATGCAAAAAGCGGGCCGACAAGCCGACCCGTGGTGCCGTCAACGCCTATTGCGATTCGCCATAAACCCTTCTAGAAACTCGTAACACACTTACAATTAGCGCCGGTTGCCCCGATATTCGAGTTAAAATCCTTAATCAAGGATTTAACGCGCATGTGTTAATCCCCTGATTACCCAACTGCAGATTTCACTCTTCGGTTAGCTTAACTTTTCTTGCTGGGACAGGAATTTCTCTAATCCGAGGTTAACCAATCGCGGTTAAGAAATATATAATTACACTATATATATATATATTTAAATACTTTTCTATATCCGACACAATGAGTAATTCTTGTGTAATCGCGTCACAAGGCTATTCGACTCGTCCTCGAGTGTCACGTGGTCATCGCTCGTCGCGCGGCAATTTGATAGTCTCGAATGGCGCGCAGTATCGAATCTCGAATCGAGGACGGGGGGAGGTGGGCGAGGTGCGCGCGCACGCGACGAACCCCTCGGCTTCGCGATGAGCGCGCACCCCCACTGGTACGAGACTTATCGATTCCCTACGCCGCCATTTTCGCCACAGTCGTTTAACGTCGACGCGAGTTCCTCGTGAACCACCTCGCGAAAACGCTCGTGGAAACTCGTCCTCGGCGCGGCTCGAGGAACGGAAAACGAAGGGGCGAAATGCGCTACGCCGCCGCCATCTTGGATCTCCGATAAGCGCGAACTCGACTTAATGACACGTAACGCTCGCGAGGGATCGTTCGAATGAGTCTGCAGGATCCTGAAGGACGAAATCGGCCAGTGCTGAGGTATATAATTAACTATGACATCATGTAATGTCACGTATATTTTTGTATATAATGTCATTTATATTTTCTAATTTCGATTTAATTTATCCGGCAAGTCTTAACGTAGGACCTTAATGTGTTACTCTCTGTCCGACAACGAGTACTCTTCTGTACCCGAAGTTTCTATATATCGTTATCTAATAGTAGGCTTACATCGTGAGGTTTAATAATGGAACATTATACGTGATATCATTTTTTCTAGGCATAAGAAAAAGGATTACAGGAGGTTGATACTATTTCTAAGGGGATGTGAAAGTGGTATCTGAAGAGTCAATCGTTTCAAACATTACGACGTCAATATGGAGGCTACAAGGAAGGTCCTAACACTCGTGAAATATTATTTATAATAAGAAATTTTTCAAATACCTATGAAGAAATTTCAATTTAAAAAAAATTGAAATTCCATGGGTTTCAGGACCTTCCTTGTACCCTCTATATTTATATTGTAAAGTTCGAATCGATTCGGTACGCCCAGTTTGGAGAAAAGTTTTACGAACGAGAACTTTCACATCACCTTAAGAGCGAGTACGAGGGCACGCGTAAGGACTGGTTTTTGAGGTTAGGTAGTGTCCGAAAATCCGAGGCACCACCTTACGATCGAGAAACTCGGTAGTTTCGGTAAGATCTACTTAAAAATTGGAAAATCTATGTGTTGTGCGGCGAGATCGATATCTGATTATCTAAATCGATCCTAGAATAACTTAGGAAAGGACGGGGAATGGGTAACGCGAGTTGGATGTTACGTGTTATGCACAGTGTAGTGCGACTGTTGCAAGGCCGTTCCGATAATGGTTGCCGGTATTGACTTTACCAACCTTCATAAGGAGAGGGAGAGAGAGAAGGAGGGAAGCGAATACGTGAAATTCCAACGGAGTGAGATAAGGACGAGCGTCGGTGCCATTGTCGCGAGTGGTATCGGCGGAACTCGAGTGCACCTGCGATCTACCCGAGTATCGAAATTGCATTTATCGACCCTAACCTCTCCAAAACATGGACTCATTATATCCCTAATCAAGAATTGCTTAACGCGTGATTAGAGTTAATCGCCCGACTTGAGACTCTTACCAAACGATGGATTTTAATCTTCGATAAATTAAACTTTCGTCGGTGCAACGGGAGTTAAATTAACTCGAGATCAACTAATGATAGTTAAGACATTTTACACTAATCACGGTCGATGCATGTCCGATAGCCTGCAGACCATTGTTGACGCGGAAATGATAACAAGGCCAGTTAGTCTGCCAATCGGTGCTTCGAAAAGAGGAACTCAGAAATTTCCATCAAGGACTATCAAGGATGCAGAGTTAAGTCGTGAAGAAATGACGAAGAACGGTAATAGGCGAAGTGCGCGGATAGTCGAGGAACCGGTCACGAGTATCCTGCTAGGTGCTAAATGGTAATTAACCATTTAACGCCAAGTTTAAACGAACGGCCGGCACGGTAAACACGCGTTACACGGCCGAGGCCGTTAATTCGAGGAGGACCGTTTAAGGAAATTCGAGTTTCGCTTCTTTGAGGTCCATTCGGGAACCTCTTCCTGTTGTCTCTTCGAGGTCTCTGTTGCCGTTGGCGCACCTTGCGAGGACCGTCAGGTGCGAGACCTCGAGTAAACTGCATCCAACTGCATCCCTGTGCTCACATGACATCGCCGGAGAGTAAACGGCGGATGTTGCAGGTGCAGTTCCGTTAAAGATGCTTTTGTCTGGCGAAGCGTTAAAGTTTCTACACAAGTAAAGATAAGCCATTGAAACGAATCCCTGTAAACAGAGCCGTGGCAGATTTTACTAACCTGTGAATTATGGACGATCCACAAGAACTCGATTTACCTGTACGGATTAAAATTCGCTACGACTTATCGTTGCATATGAAGGTAACTTTCTTACCTCATTGCGGGGAGTCTTATCGTGGTGGATGCAGTTTGGCAGGTGCATCAGCGAGGCTGTGTTGTCTTCAGGGTGTTCCTCGAGGTGAAGAGCCGCTCATTGAAAGATTCCCCTGTAAAATGAATACACGTTAGGATAGTTGGCATTTTATTTCGAAGCTTTGAGAATAAACCTCGAGGGATTGGGATATCTGACTCGACGAAAGAGCGGGTTAAACGACCGGCATTTGCCGACGACGAGTTATGGCTATTAATAATTGGAGAGCCGATCCTCTCCCCTGATGATCTTGTGGAATCACTCGGCTCTCATTAAAGCATAATAAGCGAGCTTGGAGCGGGGCCACTTGTAAGGAGAAATCCAATTCTTCAATTATTCGAGCGATTCGGGCTCAATGAGATTATTCGCGAGACGAAGACGAAGGGCGCTCGACTCGGGTCCATTGCAGCCTCCGAGGGGCACAAGGATAAATCATCCCGGAATTGGACTCCTGACGGGGAGGACGCGGTGCAATTGAATTAAAAGCAATCTCAACAATTGGCTAGTCCCTTTTCTCTCTTTTTCTCTCTCCCTCCTTTCTCTCCTCCGAGCACCTTAGATGGCGGGACGGTAGTCTGCAATTCTTCGCAACTTCGTCCGAATTGAGGGTCCTGGACCCGGCGCGATGCTCGTCCATCCCGTTTAGGTCCGCAAAAAAAATATAATACCCAATACCATTTTTTCTCAGGTTCTCTTTGCTATTCCTTCGATTATAATTTTCTGAATAAACTAGAGAGTGTCACGAAAAAAATTAATTAACTTCGTCCGAATTGAGGGTCCTGCACGCGGTGCGATGCTCGTCCATCCCGTTTAGGTCCGCAAAAAAAATATAATACCCAATACCATTTTTTTTTCAGGTTCTCTTTTACTATTCCATCGATTATAATTTCCCGAATAAACCGGAGTGTCACGGAAAAAAAATTAATAAACACGTAGCGACGTTTAAGAATAACGATTAAAATGTCAACGTAGGAAAATACGAATTTCTACGGTAATAATTACCCTGATAAACCAGACAGTGTCGCTAAACAAAAATGAATAAACACGAAACGACGTTTAAGAATAACGATAAAACATAACGTAGGGAAATATGGATTTCTTCGGTTATAATTTTCCAAGTACATCGAAGAGTGGCATGAAGAAATAAACTAAGTACAAAACGGCGTTTAAGAATAACAACGAAAAATTTAACATAGGAAAATACGGATTTCCGCGGTTATAATTTGTCAGGTGCGTCAGAGAGTATGATGAAAAAAAAAATTAGTAAATAGATACGAAGAGACGTTTAAGAATGATGGAAACGACGGCACGTTGCCTACGCTCGCTCGGACGTCACGTAGGCTTATGCTGCTAACGGAATTGGCATGCATTCCGGTACATCCGTTAAACGGCACATCGGCCGACATCATCGCTCGGCGTCTCATTCCCTCTCCCACGTCCAAGGTTCTCTATCTGTTTGCACATACGCGTGCATATTGTTTACAAAACATAAAGGTACGCGCGTGTGTCGCCACGCAGGCATCGATTATCATCAATTGCGGCACCGCCTGTACAATAAAGGAGACTCGTTAAACGACGGACTTCTTTGTTGTCCCCTCGACTTAACCAACTTGAACGAGCTCGTTCGTCGACGTTTTTCCATCCTAGATATTTTCCGATATATAAACTGAAGTAACATACAAGCTGTGGGCCGTTGTATAAATGTATGCTAATTTTACAACATGGGTTATAAATTTAATACATGAGTGTGAGAATTTCCCTGCGCAATTTAACGTGACGACGTTATGGAATCATAAATTTAATTAAAAGTCTGTAATAAATGTGTGTTAATTGATGTTGAGGACCTCGTATTTATCATTCCATTACAATCATGGGTACTAAAGGTGTAGGTACTTTACACTTTTACAATCATTATTACGTAGGTGGGTACTGACGGTGTAAGGTATGGGAATTTTTTTGCTTTTTCAGGGCTCGCCTGGCGATGCAGGACAGAGGGGTGGACCTCGAGGAAGGGTTCAGGAGCAGGAACGTCCGCAGGAGGTTGTTCGCCGATGACGAAGGGGGCCAGGATGGAGGTCCAGGAGAGGAGGACAACCTGAAGAACCAACTGAACGAGGAGATCAAAAGACACCGCGACGAGGTGAGAATCAGCTGATCGAGCGAGGGAAAACGCGGGGAAGAAATTCACCACGGAGCTCCCAGTAAATCGTATGAAATTATAAATAATTACGTCATTAGTAAAAATTGATTGCAGGCGAAGAAAAGGTGGAACTTCGATTTCGAGAAGGAAAAGCCACTTCCAGGTCGCTTCGAGTGGACGAAACTCGACGAACGAGGAAACGATGTTCATTCGGACGAGGAGGAAGAGGGAATGGGCTCCAAAGAGAAGAACAATACCGAGGAAAAGGAGAAAGAGGAACAGACTGACAATAATGGCTGCGAGGCCGACTACGACAATGACGTTAACGTTTCCGAAAATATTCAATCCGGAAACATAGTCGACTCTCGTTGCAAATAGTGCTAATCATTCTTTGCTTCCTAAAAGAAACTGATATCGAAGGATCAAGATAAGTTGGTAGCCCGCGTGACGATAAATCTTAACGATTTTCGATAGATTAGATATACATTCGAACGAATTTATCGCGACGATTTATCGTAACGTGAGTACTCATTTACAATCGGAGCAACGAATTTTCGATTTCCTGGGATTTCGAATCCAGGATTTTGTGCCTGCAGCGATGAGAATCAAAAGTCCGTCGCTTTTATCCACGCACAGAAACGAGAGTTAACGCTTACCAAATAATTTCAACAGTTTGCCAAAAAGTCATTCAACGAGGATTTCCTTCTCTTTTAAATAGCTTAGGGTCGACTGCTTGTTCCCTTGACATTTCTTGGTAAATGGAGGATTCATCGCAGTACACGGTAATCACGGAATTGCGGTTTAATAAGACGTTGATAAGGATCACGGTGCAATGCAATTTCAAACGCGAGAGGGTCTTAACTTATTCTCCTTGAGTAAAAAGGGGAAAAAGGAATCATAGCTGCAAGAAATGCGGAATTTAATTCCACTCTAGTCAAAAATAACGATGCGTAAAAGGCGCGTTAATTCCGTTTAATTGTACACTGAGAAAAAAAATGTGATCGACCTAAAGATATATTTCGCCAACTTGAAAGGTAATTCATTGACTGAAATAAACTCGAATAAATTGGATTATTTCAGTTAAATAATTATTCATTGAATGAACAAAAATATTTCAGTGCTTCAATTACATTTTTTTCTCTCAGTGTATTAGAGTCGTCGAGCCAAATCCCTATTAACCGTGTGTCCATGAGGCAAGTGCGTTTAATTATTTATCTTAATTTTTATTTAACTTATTATATATACCGTCGCGGTCGGATGTCTCTCGTACACCAATTCGACACAACGTGCAATACGAAACGATTATTTATGTTCTCCTCCAAGAATTACGTGTACACACTGGATGTTTTTTACGCCGATTAAATAATATATTTGTAACTTTACTAATCGCGGTTGAGATACTTTCCCCCTCGAGAAAAAAAGTTGAAAAAAAGAAAAGGAGGATTACGAAAGAATGTTTATAAATTATTCTACTAGGGCGCATGCATCGGCGGAGGAATGCAGCTAATTAAATTGACTGCACTTAAACTTACGCAAGACCTAGTTTCCATCTCGAGAGGAAGCGGAACATCTGTCTTTGCGTTTTCTCTTCGTCCAAACATTTCATAACACCACGTTGGCAACTAAATTGCGTAAGTACAAACCCCTTGTCTATCCCAATGAAGGCGAAAAAAAAAAAGAAGTAGCTCGTAAAATTTCATACAATGTTCCGCCTCGATTTCACTCGGTTCGTTTACTCGTCTCAATTAAAAGCAAAATGGAGTAAAGAGGTAACGTGCAGCCCATCGGCGAGAAGTACGCAAACATCAAGCCCTGCGTAACGGAAAACGTGCAGACCGTTACTTCGTTGCATGCAACGCGCATAATCTCATTATAACCGTGACCGTCTATAAGAGATGCGATCGGCATAAAAAAGCTTAGGATCGGCTGAAATTCCGGGAGAAAGCATTTCGTTCCAGTTCGACTTGAATGGCAGAAATGAAATCGGTCTGAGATCGATCAACAATCTGACGTGTTGGCTCGCATTAACGAAAACCTGCATTGGACCCTTACACTTATATCCGTACACGCGGCCCAGTTAGGGGTGGAATTCTGAACCCTGTGGATGATGGGGGTCGTTTGTGGTGGATTTCAAGTACGTTGCATTTCGCGAAGAGAGCCAGAAGGTATTTTGAATAGTCCTGTAGAATCCGCCCGACCAAGTCTAGGGGTAGATTTTTCTCCACACAAGCCATACACTTTGACAAATGCAGGGAAACATCTCAAATTCCTACACCGAGATAAGACATTCACTGAAAAAAGAAACATTTTCTTAATTTCATTCGGAAAAAGTATTTCATTGAATTAGCAAAATATTCCATTGGTTAAGTGAAATGTTTCTTCTCCGTGTGTAAAACCAACTGAGGCGAAAAAGTATCGCTACCTTGACAGGGAAAACAATTGACAAATCAAGCCCGGAATGTATAAGTAGGATAAAAAATGCTGAACGAACCCCGAGATTCCCAAGCCGTGCAGTTTCCACGAGTATCCGCGATTCCGCGCCTCCCGGGGTCCATCCGCATCCCCATTGTCGCACGTCGTAATCACCGGCTCGGTGCACCTGGCGTTTTTTGAGGTTTGCTTTCATCCAGCCTCCTTGCGGAGGGCCAGCGCGCGTCTTATTGGTACAAATTGCACTTCCGTTCCGCGAATTCCCACGGAAGTCGCACAATCGGGGACACGACAAAGGGTTCGCGCGAGTACCATACACCTCCGCCGAGGATCATTGTGCTACCGGGACCACTAAGGATCCTTACCCTGCGTGAACAGTTTCCGCAGGTGGGTGGAGGTGGGTGGAGGCTGCCATGGAATTTCGAGAGGCGGTGCACAACGAAGGGGATGCCATTTAATGTCCGGCTGTACCATGTTCCCATGTTCTCCTTTCCATCTTCGATCTTGAATTTTCGTGGCTGAAAAATTAAAAACATTACTAGAGATACCCCTCTCCCCCACTTCGACTTCATATTCATCCCCGCGCCCCCCTAATTCACAATGTAGATAATTTAACTCTCTATGGGCCCGTGTAACTTTCAGGTCACATTTTAAATGAAAATTCTTTTTTCATTTGCATATATAGGTTCCTAATTGCTGATTTTTCGTTCCCCAATTTTTTTTTATTTAAAACAAAAATTCGGCCCATAGAGGGTTAAATCCAAATCTGCCACCTTTCCCCCAATTTGTATTACTTGGTTGGTTGGAAACATCCTACGACACCGTAATCGCTCTAAAACTTGACAGAAACTTCAAATATATAATATAATAATAAATGTGAAAATCGTGGCGTCAGGGTCGCAGGACTTTTTATCCGATAAGGATCTATGCAAGGGTCCATTGGAGAGGATTGCGTAAATACGTCGAATATGTTTCTGAATTAATTGTTATTTCCATTTTATGAGGCCACTTTTGGTTTTACTTGTGCAAGAGAGGCACCTTACCATTAAGGGTTCTGCTAAGCTGCGCTTTCATGCTGATTTCTGCGCGCAATTCATGTCCTCCACAAAACGTGTCCTCCATAATACTACGGGACCGGCAGGGGCGATTGTTTTACGGGATTCATAATGGTATGCTCGTCGAGGTGCATCCGGTGCCTCCCTCGCCACTTCCTGGATGCTGCGTGGGACTCCAAGGACGCGGTGCCAAAAAACCGCGAGTTCGACGTCAATTATATGGGACAGGATGCCAAGGTGAAAGAAAACTGCAGAAGGGAAAAACGCGTTACTTCAACTCGACTACGTGAAAAACAAAAGGGTTTTCGCGCACTCATACGTGAATGTGAACGGTGTAAGCAAACATTTGTACCGGTAGACAAAGAATCTTCGCCGAGCGTGACCGTAGGCCTAAACATATCGGTTCAGGTAATGACTAAACTACAGTCGATCCATATACATAAAACCACATTAAAACAAACATACATTTTACAGGCGCTGTTACATCTGATCAGATACGGACAAATTATCTCTTAAAAATTGTTACGTGTTTACACATGCGGTAAAAGACGTTTATAACCTAGCGGATGCCGTATATCGCCCGTCTGCGACATTCTTCATATTGGAAACGTAATTTCCCGATTATCTACGATTTTCTACGGTAAACTAATTGGTTTACGTAATGTACGTGAAAAACCTCGAAAAACGCGACCCAACGCTACCCACGTATATAAGAAGTAATAAGTTTCAGTCTGGTCTGATCTGTCCGGATTTTCAGTTCTGTTTACTCTAGTACAGTCGGATTAGAATAATAGTACAACCCGGTACAATGAAAAAAGAAATAGTGCAAATGAAAAACTGCAAATATTCAGATATTAAAATGAAAAATTTGCCTGTACTTAAAAAGGAAAGGGAATGCGATCCGACGTGTTAAACAATTAATAATATTGAACTGCCAATGAATATCGAAGAGTTCATTTAATTCCTCATTTCAACAAAGCATAAACGCCTTTATAAAGAACACCGGGAATATGCACGAAAATATCCACCGGTAATAACAAAGTTCACGTACTATTATTTTCCTGAAAATCCATAGTACACTGGACTTTGATAATAGTATAAATACTATAATTATAGTGCGGTTGGCAACACCGAGCGTACACGTTGACCTTACTCATCACCTGAAACCCATTTACGTCGAGGAGGAACCTAGTCTTATCCGTAATTACCCATTCTAGTCCAGAAGACGCATGACCACGGTCATTGTACAGTTCGGTCGAGCAGGTTGGGCAGGTTGTATCGGAGTCGACCGTTGGGTTTGAAATCGGCAGTGGCGTCCCTCCGGTGTCGCCATCTAGCGGCGGCGCTCGGAAGCAGCGCCGTTGCCGCCTGACTCGCCTCGCTCGCCCCCACCGAGCAAGTGAGACGAATCCAAAATGGCGGCTGCCAGCCCGGCGGCAAGCGTGCCCGCTGCCCGAGTTCTACATTATTCCGATAATTTTCCCCTGTCTTCAGAAACCCGGCAGGACCCCTCCGCGCGGTCTATTCTCTTAAACGGTATCAACAGCCATGAAATAAATTCCGAAAGGAGGCATCGACCGCCCTGGCGGGGAGAAAACCGAGAAACGGTACAGCGGAAAGTGGAACTACTTTCGCGCGGCGGCGTTGGCGCGGGCGGTTGGGTGTCCCCTCTCTCTCCATCTTAATCTACGGTATCCTCGCCTAGACTTGTCCGCTGCGCACGAGGCGAGTCGGCCCGCGCTTTCTAGAGAGCGGCCGGCGGCTCTTACGCATCAACGAAGTAAATTGACAATTATCAATGAAAAGTCTCGATTCCCCTCGTTAGTCTCGTGCCAAGTAATAAAGCGACTCTGCCCACGCGGTCGGCCGCGGAGCCCGGCGGCGATCCTCTCAGGACGACCGATTAACGTCGATTCCTCTTAACGAGCGGCACGGGATGGCTTTTTTGCCCTTTTTTTCCCCCTCATCCTTCGCTCTTTCCCTTTTCTTCGGAGCAAAGGAAAAGACCGTTCCCGCGAGTCGCGGCTTGACCCCTTTTGTCGCCGCCGGAGATTGGCGAGATCGCGTTAAGCGACACTTTCGCGTGTTTATTCGCCGAAAAAGAATTCGGTAGCCCCGCTGGTTATTAACGGCTCGACTCCTTAGTAAAGCCGATAACGACGCCGATGTGGTAAATCATCGTGGAAGAGAAAGCAAGGTCGTTCCCATTTTATTTCCCATGAGGACAATTTACGATCCATCACGCGTCATCTGCAGGACACTGGAACTCGCTCGATTTTATGGAGATTCGGACCGCTTGGCGTCCGCCGCCATCTTGGAAATCTTAGGCAAGAACCCTAACAAACTTTTCGGGTTTTTTGGGAGGTTTCAGGCGAGATACCGATGGGGAATCATTGTCACCCTTGTATCTAAGATTTTACTACACGAAGAACGGGCGAGGGTAACTTTTTTCTTCTTCTGTGTGGAAAGTGTCTTATGAAAAATTGAGAGGAAATCCAGGCTACTTCCGCGCAGACTTCTTCCCAAGATGGCGGCGACCGCGCGCAGGATAAACGAGGCAGATAACCCCGAATGAATACAAATAAGGCGTAAAGTATCGACTAGCTCTCGTTTGAAGCTGAGAAATATCTTTTCCGTCATTTTCCACCGATATTTGTCCCGCTAGCAATATGGCGTCTCCCGCGCTGTCACCCTGGGGGACGCGTGCGCGATAATCGAGCCAGATAATCGCCTCGCGAATGCAAATAGGACATATAATCGTACCAGTCGTCCCGTTGGCGCGCAAACTCGCGGAATACACGCGCAAATTCCGATAAGATATAGACGTGCCGTTTCTGCGAGTTTCGCGAGTACTCTCGGCGCGTCTCATGTCCCTCCATCGACGTCTTTTACTCCTGGTCGGTCTCCTTCGCTCTCCCCTTATCTTCTCTCGGCAGAAAAACAGAGAGATAGGGAAGATCGCGAGAGGGGGCCATAAAGAGCTACGACATAGCCGTAGAATCGACGAAAATACTCCTACTCCGAAAGAGTCACGTGTGGCGGCGACTCTTTCCCCCCGAAAACCCACCAAAACAGTCCCCCCACTTCGAAGCTCGGCCGACGTACAGTTATTCGCTATTTATAGCCAGATAGAAGCCGATTTGATTCGCTCCGTTGATAAGCAACCGAGTATCTAAATATCCCCCTGGTTATCCGGCGCCATTTTCCTAAAAAGTGCCCAGTAACTCGAGCGAAGTGAAAGATATTTAAAATGGAAAAAATGAAATTTCATGGGCGCCAGGACCTTCCTTATAGCCTCCGTAATAACATTGTACAGCTTGAAGTAATTCGTTACACCCAGTTCTGAGGAAACTTTCATGATCGATTGATTTCTCCGATGCCACTTTCATGTCCTCTTGATTTTCCTATTTCGTTCTGCTTATATTTATGCGCCCGCAAGTTGCTTGACGAGGTTAACCTCTATTTTTGAAAGGACCACTGCAGAAATCACGCCTACTGTGGAGTCCCCTCTATTCTCGAGCATTGCAACCCCCGCTAAGGTTCGCTCCTTATATTTGGAAAGTTTCTACAATTCGTACTGTATATTAAGCCTGTCAGGATTTTTGGCAGCTTGAAACACTTTATCTAGAAAACAGGTAATGATTGATAACAACGTTCGGATTTATAGCGTATAGGCGATCTCGCTCAAAAATGTATTTGGCGCGAAACTCTACCGAGGTTTCCTCATTATTCTTCTACGTCGCCGAGGTTGACAATGCTCCAGGAGTCGGCGAAGGTCGCTTCGCGTGCCCACAAGATTTCCATGGCGGACTTGCTAAAAATAGAGAGTATCTGCGCTGTTACGCCGACGTCGTGGTTGGGGGTCAGTTTTGTTTGCGCACGTGATTTCAAAAATGATCCTATTCTCGTACGCCGAAATTCGAAAGAGCTCGGACCACCGGACTTGTTCCGGCTCCCTGAAAACGTTCATTTTTCTTTCAGCTACGAAATCAATCAAGGTGATATGAAAGCGGCCTCAGAGTTCTCGTTCACGAAACTTCTTTTCCAAACTGGATATACCAAATCGATTCGAACATAACAATGTAAGTACGGAGGGTACAAGAAAAGTCTCTAATCTCATGAAATTTCAATTAGAAAAAAAATTTTTTCATGGATATTTAAAATATTTGTTATAAAATAAAAATTGAAATTTCCTGAGGGTCAAGACCTTCATTAGGACCTTCATGATCACGTGTCAAAGTTTCAACTTATTCGGTGCGCCCAGGTTGGAGAAAGATTGTATAATTATTTTTACGTTTTATATATACAGAGTGGACCTTTTAGTATCATCTCAAACGTTCTAACGAAATTTCTGGTGGTTGTTTTTACGAAGCGGTTGTCAGGTGGGTAGGGAAGATTTCCGAAATATCGAGGTATCGCTCGGCTCGTCGTGGAATCGTTTGAATCGGACTTCCGGGGATCCTGGCGTCCCGAGATAAATATTCCATGATTGGGCGAACGTGTACGAGGATCTCTCCAGAGGGTGGGCAGTCGCGGTCGCTCGGCGGGACGCTTAGGCGGAGTGCAGCGTATGCATGCGGGAAGTGGCGGTTATTTGGTCTCGCCAGGGCGCAAGGTAGAGCGGCGTCGGGGGGCGGGGCGGGGCCGGCCGAGCTTGGCCGAGCTCGGCCGAGCCGGGCCGAAGCGGGGACGCGGCAGCCGGGCGCAACGGACGGCGCGCGCCTCAGTCGCTAGAGAGCGCTTCTAACGTGCGTCACGCGTGCCCGCGCTGCTCGTCGTTCCCGACTACGCAATCGCCGCCGAGCCGCCGTCCCCGAACCTCTCTCTCGCTAGGAGAGGCGCGCGCCGACCCGCGCTCTCCCTCTCTGTCTGGCCACGCGGAGCCGGGAGTCTCGGGATCTGTCAGAGCGAGAGAGCGCGATTGGCGGGAATCCGCGACTCCGTGACGGGAGTCGCAGCGAGTGTCCGCGAGTGCCGCGAGGACTCTCGCCGCCGTTTCGGGCCGTGTGCAGCAGCGACCGGATCCAACGGAAAGCGCGCGCGAGAGCCAATCGCGAGGCCGTTCGCTCGCCCGAGAGGAAGGTCGCGCCGCTCGAATTCGAATCCGCCGTATCTCCGTGGCTGCGACGCATGCGAGGGGCCGCTGCGTTGCCAAGTCTCGCGCGCCTTCTCGCCCGCGCGGTGGACTTGGACCGCGGGAGAGACCCGGACACCTGATCGCCGGCAAGTGCCGTGTAGAGTCGCAGGCGCGAGTGCGCGCATCCCGGGCGGCTCGTCCACCAGGAGCGCCCTCGCCTCCTGCCGCGGGCGGACAACCGAGTCAGTGGGTCGCGCCGCAGCGGTTGGCGCCTCGTGGCGTGCCACCATTTTTGAATCCTCCGAGCGGCGTTGCCGGATCGCGGCGCCCGCCTTCCGAGAATCGACGCGCGCCACCGGGTCCCGGCCGCCCTTGCGCAACGCCACCGATGCCCCGCTCCCCCTTAGGACTTCCAACCTCGACCAAGAGGAACCCTACGTCGTCCGCCCAGCCAAGGAAGGAGGAATCACGGGATCGCTTCGCTTCTCTCCCGAGAGGAGGCTAGGAGTCACGGAAGAGGAGACCGACATCAGCGGGCCGACTCATCCCTTGGGACAAAGAGGCACAGCGCGGCTCCAGGAGCCCCGAAACCGGCGTAATATGAGCGCGAGGGTGCTGAACCCGGCGATGATGACGGAAATGAGCCGCAACCTCGGGGGCGGTCGCGCGGCGCCCAGCAGGGCGGCCCTGGCGCGAGTGCGCCGCGACCTCTTCGGCCCCGTCGACCACGCGGCCGCCCGCGCCTGCGCGGAGCGCGAGCTGCGCGCGCAGTCCCTCCTGGACGCCGAGAAGTGGGGCTTCGACTTCCGCCTCGAGATCCCGAAGGGGAACTCGCGGTACGAGTGGGAACTCGTTACCGCGCGCGACGTCGTCCCCGAGCCCTACGCCCTGAGGGGCATGCCCTACCTGGGGAAACACGCCCCCGCTCCCGCGAGCCCCAAGAGCCCGCCGAGAGGGGGCAGGACCCCCAAGGACGGGGCCGGAGCGCCCCGCACCCCCTGTCCCCCCGTACCCTCTGCCGCCAAGGCCGAGAAGACGCCTCCCCAGGAACCCAGGGTCCCCGACGTCGGCGCCAGGGGGCCCGACGTCGCCAACGAGCCCGCCTCCAGGGCCAAGTACCTGGAGGAACTCACCACCCCCGTCCTCGCCAGGGCCGCGAGGAAGCAGCCCTCCATCACCGGTGAGCCCATCTCTTTTTAATTGCCGAATCGCTTCCGGGGCTTTTGCGAGCATTGTCTCGTCGGAAACACCTTCGGTGTAAAAAAGAGACGAAGTCGTTGACTGATTGTAGTCTTTAGAGGAAATACCGTCGAAGTCTTGGCAACTACATTTCGATATTTAAAATTTAATATTCCTAGGATGATTTGGTTCATATTCAACGCGAAAAAGTATGGAAATCAGGGGTTAGGTCAATGACAAGTTTGGGGCGCGTGTAAAGTATATCGCGCAAGCTTATAAATTTATTTGGCGCGACACTCTACCGAGTTTTTTTTTTTTTAATACGTCTCTGGGATTTGGGATCGATGGAATTAAAGTACTCATAAAGAAATACTGCCGAAACCTTTGAAACGACTTGGAGTATTTTTACGATAAATATTTCCAGGATAATTTGTTTCATATTCAACGCGAAAAAGTAAGGAAATCATGGGTTAGGTCAATGACAAGTTTGGGGCGCGTGTAAAGTATATCGCGCAAGCTTTTAAATTTATTTGGCGCGAAACTCTACCGAGTTTTTTTTTTAATACGTCTCTGGGATTTGGGATCGATGGAATTAAAGTACTCATAAAGAAATACTGCCGAAACCTTTGAAACGACTTGGAGTATTTTTACGATAAATATTTCCAGGATAATTTGTTTCATATTCAACGCGAAAAAGTAAGGAAATCATGGGTTAGGGTAATGACAAGTTTGAGCCGCGTGTAAAGTATATCGCGCAAGCTTTTTAATGTATTTTGCACGAAACTCTACCGAGTGCCCTGATTTGTAGAGTATTTTTACGATAAATATTTCCAGAATAATTTGTTTCACATTCAACGTTAAGAAGTAATGAAATCACGGGTTAGGGTAATGACAAGTTTGGGACGCGGGTCGTGGATAAAGTATATGTCGCCGCGATTTGGGAACGACAGGATTTTATCGAGATATTTTGGAGCATTCGGGTGGCTGATAAATTCGAAGAGGTCGAGATTCGTTGCAACGATTTATCGATGTACAGGGGTGAACGTGTGAGGAATGATACGTCGGTTAAATTCACCTCGATTAAAATGTAAGAACGATAAATCGATCTGTGACCTCGGTTGGATCGAGTTCCCTTTTCATCAACGCTTTGGATAAATTTTTATGAATCCAGCGATATTATTTTTCAATTTTTGAATTTTTTTTATAAGGGTGGCTGCGCAAGTAACGAATCGTAGCGATTTGTGACCGCGGTTAAATCGAGCTTCTTTGTATCAACGCGTTAGATAAGTTTTTAAGAATCTAGCGATACTATTTTTTTTATTATTTTTTTTTTTTATAAGGGTGGCTGCGCAAGTAACGAATCGTAGCGATTTGTGATCGCGGTTAAATCGAGCTTCTTTGTATCAACGCGTCTGATAAATTTGTAGAAATCTGTGNATAAGGGTGGCTGCGCAAGTAACGAATCGTAGCGATTTGTGATCGCGGTTAAATCGAGCTTCTTTGTATCAACACGTCTGATAAATTTGTAGAAATCTGTGGCGCAACGATTTATCGTCGGGACTGGAGCTTGGGACGATTTGGAACGATTTTTCGGCCCCGGTTACCTCCTGTAACCGGTTTATGGGGGTTGAACGTGCGACCTTATGGGATGCGCCCAATTTCATCTCGGGACCAGTTCTCGAGATTGGGGCGAGAAATCGCCGGCGACTCCGAATGCGGCAGCTTCCCTCGGTTGGGAAAAATTTCTTGAAGGAAGGCGGGATCTGTCCTAACCTCGATGCCGCTAGAATGCCGTCGAAATCGCTCCTTCCTGCCGTACGGTCGCTTAACCTTAGATAACTCGCTCGTAAGAAACGACGTACGAAAGAATTGGATCGTGACATTAATCACGAATAGCTTAGCCTTCGGGTCTTCCTCGATTTTCACATCGATTACTGCCATCGAGCTCGAATTGGCCGAATGGTAAGAAAATGCGAGGACGATACTCTATCAACGTAAATCTCTGCACATGATTAACCCTTTTCCTACTGAGAGCTCCCGACGTTTGGTCCAATATTGCCTGCACGGTCAGACGAATTTCGCCCGTATGTCGAAATGGCTCAAAGGGTTAATATTCAATTAATTCGTTTCAAAACCTTAAAACATGAACATGGAGGCTGTAAAGAAGGACCAGGTATCAATTTTAAGGAAATTTGTTTATTCGATATTTTCCAAATCTATGATAGGAAATGATATTTCCCGAGGTTCAGGACCTACCTTAGGGCCTCCTTAGTCGTGTGCCAAAGTGTGAAATATTATTTGCCCACCAAAATTCGGGGAATACTTTCGCAAACTATTGACCTCTCGGATGACATTTTCGTATCACCTTGGAAACGTAAAAAATTACGGTGAAGTATAAACGATAATGGAAAACGTGACGGTAAGGTGGCGACGCGTGTAACGACGAATCGTGGCGATTTTCAAGGTATAGGATTAAATCGAACTGTATAGGGTCCATCAGTTGGTTAAATCTCTCCAGATTGTTTTGCACCGATTTATCGTTGTAAGTAGCCTTCGGTTCTTCGAGGATTTTCCGGCTTCTGGAGCGCTTCCGTGGGGACGGGGCCATTGTTTCGTGGTGTTTTCTTTAAGCCGCTCGACTCGGCATTTCTTTCCTGGACGATGCACCTGTCTCGCGATCGATCTTCACCGTTAAATCGCTCCGGAACGGCCGGCTCCTCGTGGTTACACAGGGAAAACGATCCGGTTCCGTCTTTCCACGGATATGCGCCGTGTAAACTGTGACTGGCCGTTTTTTTTTTCTCTTTCATTTTTTTTTTTCCTTCGTAACTCGAACACAATTCTTTTCTTCCCTAACGATGGTTTCTTCGACGTTTTCCAACGTTTTTTCGCCCACGTCAGGAAAAGAAAGAATGACGCATCTTCTCGGTCGCATTAGACGCACCGTTAAAACTGGACATTGTATTCAGATACCACGTGATTAATTTAATAATCCCGTTGTGAATGGATTTTATCGGCGAGCTTAATTTCATAGGTTCGAAGGATCTCTCTGACGTGTAATGAAATTCAGGATTTACTCCTACATTCACGGATATTGAATATTATTGGGTCGTATTAGACGCACCGTTAAAACTGGACGTTGTATTCAGATACTACGCGATTAATTTAATAATCCCGTTGTGAATGGATTTTATCGGCGAACTTAATTTCATAGGTTTGAAGGATCTCTCTGACGTGTAATGAAATTCAGGATTTACTCCTACATTCACGGATATTGAATATTATTGGGTCGTATTAGACGCACCGTTAAAACTGGATGTTGTATTCAGATACTACGCGATTAATTTAATAATCCCGTTGTGAATGGATTTTATCGGCGAGCTTAATTTCATAGGTTCGAAGGATCTCTCTGACGTGTAATGAAATTCAGGATTTACTCCTACATTCACGGATATTGAATATTATTGGGTGGGTCAGAAAGTACCGAAACGTTCTTGCGGTGAAAAAATTGAAAACCAAAAATTCTGACCTATCCGATAGTTTAAAGTATTACATCTAGAATTGATGGTCTTAGAGAAATGTTGTATAATATCAGAACCTAAAATTTAGAAATTTTTATCTATTAGTCGGACACATTTGCGGATTAGTAGTTTTTTTTTTCGCAAATCTATGAACTTTGCGTATCGATGTAGAGCGCCGCATCGAATTAGAAACGATGGTGCAATATTTTGTGTTAAGGATTTCGGTAGAGTTTCGCGAGAAATACACGTAAGTACAAGCGTAACAAAAGTGCGGGAAATTTAGGGACGCTTTTAAACGGCGTCTTTGCGACGCATCTATCGCCAATCTTCGCCTCGGATGCAATCGAAGATCCGTCTCCGGTTTGGGGATAAAAGAGTCCTAAAAGATACCTTCGGATTTCTTCTGACGATTAATCTCAATCGGAGGCAAGGTTCACGCCGATAGCGAGATGCTCGGGCGAGCCTTTCGGAGCGTCGGTGTACGCCGCCGGAATATTTATATACATACTCTGCAATATGGGTATAGGAGCGTATTTCATATTTTATATATATTTTTTATATGTATATATTTATTTCGCGAGGTTATCCGGCATCGCGTGACCACGACCTCGGAGAAGCTCCGGCCTCGATTCCCTTCCACGGCCGCGCCGAATTAATTCCGGGACTCCGGGAATTCGAGGTTATGGCTGACGCGACGCTCCGCATTATTAACACGCCTCCGGGTGCGACATTCGCGAAACGCCAAGAAATGTCTGTAAACTGCTGTTCTATAACCGCGGAAAGAATGATAGTCAGAAATGGTATCAAATTTTATGATTTTATGAAATTATTACGAAATTTTACGAAATTCCATGAAAATTTACGAAATCATGAAATTTTATGAAATCATGAAATTCCATGAAATTCTATGAAACTTTATGATAGGCTTTCGAGGGCGCGAGTCTGTACGCTGGAAGAGAGAAATGAAATTCATCGAGAGAAATGAAATTTTATAGTTTTATGAAATTATTATGAAATTTTATGGAACTATGGTAGGCTTTCGAGGGCGCGAGTCTGTACGCTGGAAGAGAGAAATGAAATTCATGGAACCAAAGAAATATTTCGTTTGACTGGTACCGAAGAAATTCAGGTTTAATTCGAGGATTAATTATTTGGCTGCAATTAAATTTCGAAAATTCACGCCTTGAGTTGCGCCACTTGCGAAACGTCAAAGAATGTCTGAAAATTGCTGTTCAATGGCCGCGGAAAGAATGACAATGAGAAATGGTATAAAATTTTATGAAATTTTATGATAGGCCGTTCGAGAGCGCGAGTCTGTACATTGTAAGAGAGAAATTAAATTCATCGAACGAAAGAAATATTTCGTTTGAATGGTGCCAAAGAAATGTAGATTTAATTCGAGGATTAATTATTTGGCTCAGACAAGTTGTCTAGATTCCGGAGTAACCGCCGCATTTGACTTTTTCGATTTTACTTCAGCTAAATAATTTATCCTTGGAATTAATTTCTTTGGTTCAACGAGTTCTTTTATCTCAGTGTGGGAATTGACGTCGAAACGAAGACTTTGGTTAACTGACCGTCGCCATCTTGGCACCGATGGAATCCTCGATTATATATATATATATTTTTTTTTTCTCTCCTTTTCCCGCGATTCGGTGCTTGCACACCGCCCACGCGAGAATGCCGACTATTCCTGGCCGTGACCATTTCGATGCCGTCCTGGTTTACCGAAGAATAATGCCCACAACAATGGCGGTCCCTCCTCTGTTTACGATCTGCTGACGCGCGACGCTCCCGTCGAGAAATCCGATTTGCCATTTGGGAACGGGTAGGTTTCCAAAATCGGGAATTAAAACACATGGACATTTTCTAAATGTCGATTTTCCCCGGATAGTTCCATTTGGTCGGGTCGAATGCAGAATGCAGGTATTGAAAAATTGCAAGGCAGAAGTCGACAACGCTGACGTCCGAAGTGAACGTTGAAGTCAGATCGCGGATTTTTTTTTTTTTTTTCTACCTTGACAGAGCAAATGAACAAAGTCCGTCCCGGTTCAAGGCCTCCTAGAAAGCATCCACGCCGACTTCCGTCGTGCGTTTGTCAGTGCGTCAGTTTCGCCGCTAATGACACCCGACGGAAATGCCGTGACTGATAGAACGCTGCTGGCCACTCGCGCATTTCCAGTCGCGAGGATCCTCGGATTCCACCTTAACGGGTCACGCTGGAGGAAAATGCTTCCTACGAAAGTTCTTCCTCCTGATTCGGGGGCCAACTTTTGTCCTAAGCATTTTCCTGTATCTCGCGTGGATCGATCGGAAAATCGGTGATGTTCCTAAATTTCGGGGAGAACGAACTGGTCAACGAAATTTTCATTGCGAAGGCCTAGTTAGCCAGTGTATGAACCGATAAGCACGTTACCGAGGTTTACTAGTTAATATATAAAATTATAGATGATTATGCAAGATGGATATCTTGCATAATTTTCAATATTTTGTGTCGAAAGGCTGTGGCCAAGATATGTATGCGAGAGTCGGGGAGTTCGGGGGAGAGAAAATCCGCGGAAGCGACATACGTCGGGGTCCAGGTGCGGAGGGGGTGCGGAGAGGGTGCGGAAGGGCCCGCGTGCCTCTCGTAACGGACTTTATTAATGAGAAAACCCGGTCAGCTGTTGGTAGTCCCATATGGGGTGTGTTTGTCGGGGGGCCCGGAGGGTGCGCGCGCATGGGGGCATCAGCTGTGGGCATAATGCACCCAGGAGGCCCTAGGGGGGGCCCATGGCTTTTAAAATCGCGGCTGGTCGAACCCATCCCTTAGCTTCGCACCCGCGTCACAAGAAGGGAGTGCAGATCACTCTAAACGAGAGAAAAGAAAATAAGAATTCAATCCGTAGGACAGAATCGCAATATTAACTATACTTAACATAGAAGTACGCGATGGAAAATGTCGAATGGCTCGAGCGATCACTTTTTGAAAAGGTCTCGTTTATGAAACTTTTCTTCGGCCTAAGTGTACCGAATCGTTCCAAACCTGACAATGCGAATTCGGAGGCTATAAGGAAGGTCCCTGAAACTCATGAAATTTCAATTTCAAGATAATTTATTCATAGCTATTTTCAAGAGTTTTAGTAACAATTGAAATTTCCCGCGGATTGGTGCACCCAATTCGGAGGAAAGTTTCATGAACGATTGACCCCTAGGATACCACTTTCACATCCCCTTAAGGTGACGTGAAAGCGCCGTCGAAGAGGTCTCGTTTATGACAATTTGTCATAATGAACGGGGCGCGCTGATTTTTTTTTTTTAGTATCCCGCGTGCAACGAGAATGTACGTAATATGTGTAATTATACGTTAAAACCCTTTGAAACGAAAGGTGCGATTTTTAAGGCACTGGAAATTAATCCCATCTGCCGCGGCCTAGGACGTTGTCGCGCATGCTACCGCGCATGCTTGCCGCGCATGCTTGCCGCGCACGCGCCCCCGCACGCTGCCGCGCACGCGCCCCGACAGGGGACGCTTTTCGAATATAATTACAGATGCGTCAGATAACCCGTTGGCTCGTCGAGGCGAAACGTTATCGCGGGCATCGACACGCGAGGGAGGGTGCAGAAGGGAGGAACGCGGGGGATGCCCCGAATAAGGGATGGAAAATCGGCAGTCCTCGTGGCAGTAGACAAGGGTTGAAGCGACGAACAGATGTCCAACTCGGGGGGAGGGGGCGGAATGATAGAGGGGAGACGCGATCGATCGGGTGACAATGGCCATGCGAGGGGGTGGTCCCCTCGCTTGCCCCAGGCCCTGGTTCCGTTTAAAGGGAAATGCACAATCGGGGCTTTTAAACGGATTTGCCGGGATGCGTTTCCACCCGGGGTCTCTATTCACGAACGGCCTACTCGTTCCGCAATATTTCCCCAGGGGGCGTGGCGATTCGTCTGAAGTTTTACCCCGCATTATAATGCGTATGTACAAAAAGTAGTGAAAAATCATATCACAAAGCCAAGTACACGTGACTCACTGGATTTCTTGGGCGGTCGATTGTTTATTTCCTAGGTTCTGCCTTTATATGCAGCGAGTACTGAAAATATATAACAATGTCGAGTCATTGGGTGTTATATGGTTCGCGAGCAGCCTTACCGTGTGAAATTTATAACGGTGACTTGATCTATGGAGGGTCCCGTTATAGGTTCGATACACCCTAACCTAAAAATCGTACGTACCGGCGGGGCTGCTCGAGGGGGTTGCGGCACGTGGCGACGTCACGCGAGCGCTCTCGCCGCGAGTGGCCGGGCGTGAGTCACGCCGGGACTTCCCCGTTCGCTCGCCGATGAAATATATCGGCGGCGTCGGGCCTCCCGGTCTCGAGACTCCGCTCGGCGCGTCCACGGGGACCTTACCACCGACGCATCCCCGCTAAGGCCGCCGCAAGCGGCTTATCTCGGCCGCGTAGCCGCGCCGCGAGCCGGCCCAAGGCCGGGCGAGCGCGTCGGGACGCGCCGGGTCACGTGGGCGGTGACAGGACCCGACCCATCGCCGCGTGACGTCACGACGCCGATACACTTCTGCGGACCGGTCGCGCGGCCACTTTCGCTGGCAATTTTTCTCCCCGTCACGGCTCCGCGACTTCGCGAGTCCTAGCTAATAATCTCTAACGTTGGAAAAAAAAAAATTATCCGTTAACCCGTTTGAATTTGAAATGCGGGAGGGGGTCACGTGACCCCCGCCAGTTCCCGCGCTTCTGGTTCTCTCGCGGAGCGTCGGGTCGGATCCGCTTACCCTGGCTGCATCCGAGAGAAATATCCCGGAGGGATCGGAGATATTGAACGGCGATGGTCTTACCATGTAATAACCGCTTGACGTTTTTCCTTTCAGACTTCATGAAGAGCCGCAAGCGCACGTTAAACGGGAGCGCGAAGAGCATGGTGGAGCCGCCGGAGAAGATGGCGCGCAACGCGGGCCAGATACGCAGCTAAGCTCGCCTCTTCCCCCCCCCTCCTCCTCCTTCCCTTTTTTCTCTCTTCTTTCCTTCCTCGCTCTCTTCCCTCTCCTTTCGCCGCCTCCCCTCCGTCCCTTCTCCCCCGGGAGACGAATGGATTCATCAGGAAGCGCGTCGGGACCTGGAAGCGACGACGTCCTTCGAGATTGCAACGGCGGGGTCGCTGCTGCGGGCCTCGCGTCTCGGTGCAACCGGGACACGCCAGGCTGCGCCACTGGGAATGGAGGGAACACGCGAGAGATGGACAAACGTTGATATATATATATATATATATGTATGTCCCGGTCGTCGCTTGATTCTAAAACGCTCTTCTAGGATAGATGTGACGGGGGCGTTGTGATCAGTCGTGGACACCCGGATTCACTGTAATATATATACATACGTGTATATATATACATATGTAGGTTCGTTAGTCGCGGGTCTCGATGAGAGACGCCGGCGTCCCGCGCGGACGCTGCTTAGGCTAGGCGAGATATCGCGAGATTATGTACGGAAGAGTCTATGTTTTGTAGGTTAAGGTACACCGGGTCGCGAGGTGTCGGGGTTCCACTTTGGCGGGAACAGGGAGTCACGTGGTATACCGGGAGACGCGAACGCCTTTGGATATGGAGTTGCCGGTCTATCATGGGAAGGCCTTCGTGTACACCAGGGTTTATCAAGAAGGAACTAAGCTTTGGACCGTCTTGCGGTTTGAGTGTCATCGTGGTACTCTATGGTTCGTGACGGAAGGTACAGGTAGTTTCAGCCTTTACGAATTAATCCGCTCCTGGCGATCGTGGATTTCGAAAAGTGAGAATTCGAAAAGTGAAAATGCGATATTGCGAAAATCCGTAAAGTGAGAGTTCGTAAAGTGGGAACTACCCGTATATAGGAACGTCGAGGTGTAACTAACCTCTTCTCGACAGCCACTCGACGGAGGCTCCCTCTCTCGAGTGATTGGCGAGGAATCGACAGGAGTGGTTCGACCGGGCGCCGCGAGAGCGCGAGTTTCGCCCCGCGCTCGACGAATGGCATCCTCGAGTGCGGCGCGAAACGCTTTTTGAACGAAATTATGCCCCATTGGACCCCCAAAGTACCCCGGCAGAATCGAGGACTCGTGAAAACCGAGAATGGCGACCAAGCGGGGTGGATCCGGATCCAGGGATGGGACTCGTCGAGAGATAAATGGAAACGCGTCGCGCGAGGTGCGCGCCGCGACTGCGCACCTCGCACGGCTCCGACATCTTGAATGTGCTACGATCGAAAATCACGCAGGAACATTTTCTTGTTTTTTTTTTTTCTTCCTCAAATTCCTTTTCACTGAAATTCACCCGAATCGTTCGAAAGTAAGGGATATATGCGGAATTGGCGCGAAACCGAACGTGCGTTCTAGATCTATCGACGGTCCCTTTTGTTGTCAGGCTTTCGAGCAGCCAGATTGGCGAGTCCGTAGAATTAATCGAGCAAAGAAATCACGTTTGCAGTATTATTCGACGTAGCGTCGTAGTTTTTCATTGAACAATTGTTACGTTGCATGGTGCGCGCGTGTATCTTTACGTCTGTCTGCATGGGAACCTCGGGAGAACCGGAAGGTGTCTCAAAGTAGCGATGGGAAGTTGACGATTAGACGTTATCATTACGTAGTCTGTCTTATCGGCGTGAATCCGACATTTTGTGGATTATCTTACTCCTTTGTAATCATGGCTTGCCGACGCCGAATGGAGGGGGAAAAACAATAGAAATGGAGTACGCGTTTCGGGACGTTACCATCCCTGGAGAATAGGAAATGCGAGAGAATGATACAGACAGAGATATATATATATATATATGTGTTATATATAACAATTAGCGTTGGAACCAGTAAAACAAGAGAGTTTTGTAAAGTAGCTTGTAGTTCGTTACCCAAGAGTTTAAGCATTGATCTCCTGTACGACTTGATGAAAGTACAGCCGATGCCAAATCGTCATCCCTCGATTTTCCGCACCTTATCAAGGAGCCTTATCGTACTCGTATCGTTACTTTGGAGAAAAAGTAATCCCCCCCCCCGTGCCCTTTTTCCTTAACCTTTTTCCTTAACCTTTTTCCCTCCCGATTTCACGACTCTTCCTCCCTTCCTTCGTCCTCGGCCGTGTAAAGAAACGCCGCGCCTGAAAGACAAGAAAAGTGCATTTGGCGCGGGACTCATTCGAAGTGAAAAAAATAAATAAATAAATAAATAAAAAATGACAGCGATGGCGATCGACGGTTCCACGCCGAGGGGAAAAGAAAAGGGGAGGGGGGAAGAAGTCCGCAGAAAATTGTTTCCTGGCGGTACAACGCGTAGTGTATTTTTTGAAAAAGATTCTTCGACATACGACAATATGTCTTCGGCGGCAATAATTTTCTGCACTAGACGCGAGCGTCGGTGCAACGAAAGAGAGAGAAGAACTCGAGACAAAGCGAACATCACGCGTCCCTTTAATCATTGCTCGTCCTTTATCTCCTTTAATGATCGGTGATTACGCGGGGGGAAAGACGTCCTTATCGACTTATCCTCTTTTACACGTCATTTTACAGGTAAATAGTGATCTAATCATCTCGCAGATTATTTTTGCGACCTCGAGGTGGTATTCTTTTTTTTTTTTTTTTCTTTTAAATTTCTAACGCTTGATCTTGACGTTCGTCTTCCCCGTGTAAACGCGTTTCCGATGTCGACTAGACAAAAACAAAGAGAACGCAAAAAACACGCCGAGAAGGTCTTCGTCCTTCTTTCCTCCCGTTTTTCTTCTCTGTCGTCCTTAAATTATTCTTGCGTAGCGCGCATACCTGGAAGGGGAAAACGCAATTCTGTACAAATCGTCGAGTTAACCTTAATTTTGATACGAATAAAAGTTTAAAGCCATTTACGTAGTTGAGAGGTATCCACACACGTATCCATGTACACCGTGATTATCTGGGTCTCTCTTCATTTTCGTTTCCGATTTCTTTTATTTTTTTTTATTTTTCTCTCTCGCCATCATCAATTCGTTCACCGGTAGTTTCCCGTTTTTTCTTCCTTCTTCCACGTCTTCCTAATTCTCTCCGTTTGAGATTCTATCCCGAGAATACGACTGGTGGTTACAAGCTCCCTCTTCGAGAGGAAGAGATAAGAATATTGGTTGACTCGAAGGAAAATATGCATTGCTAGAAGATAATCCTGCGATCGAATACCTCGAAAGAAATGTGAATAGGAGTAAAGGAAAATTCGTTTAAATCGAGGATATGATTTTTCTCTTCTCGAGGGAATAATTGTTCCTTGCAATTATATATGATTCAGGCAACGATGTATATTCGCTTCGGTCAACTAATATTTTTTTCTCAGTGCAGATGTCTAAAAGATGCGAATCGGAGAGAAGGGAATGAGAAAATGAAAAAGGTCTCGCATTCGACGGAAGATCGTCTCGAGTGAAATTCAATGCCGACTCCGAAATCCGATTTCGAGGACCTCCACTTCTTCGGCCGCCATTTTGTCTTCCCGCGAGAACAAACGGAGAGCCAACGGAAAGGACGAATTAAAATAAGGCCCAATTCGAGTTTCGCTTGCACTGGCACTTAGGAAAATTCCCCTCCCTTTGTTCTCCCTCGCAGTCCTCGAAATTCGGGCCTGAAAGAGTGAAATTTCGAAACGACGGGATATGTTAGAAACGACGCTCCGCCGCCGGGACGCGCGAAAAGGTCGAGATTAATTTCACGAGGGGAACCTTTGGCACGCGAGATTTATCTTAACGCAGCTGCCGATAACGCGTGCGGATTTGCGTTATTAGTTGCTCCCTCGAAGTCGCGTTAAACGGCGTTAAATCGAATCGTTAAAGTCTTATGAAAGTGTCCCATATATCAAGGAGTTATAAGTATACTCCAAACTGTGTGCACCGAATGATATTAAACCTGGACCCGTGATTACGAAGGTCCTAACGAAAGGTTTTAAAACTCACTGTCGTGAATAAAATTATTTATCCCCGATCGGAAGGAAAGAAAACATTTTCTTTAAAAAAAAAAGACGAGATTTCTTAACTTTCAAGACCTTCGTTAGGACCGATATGATCGCGTGGAATTATTTGGTAAATATAACTTTCACGGTTTCATGTGTACGGAATGAGCCTTTCATGTCACCTTAAGTCGCGTTAAACCATTAAGGGGGTGTTAAAGTGGCACCTGAAGAGTCATTCATGAAAGGTGTGCCGAATCGTTTCAAACTTGACAACGCAAATGTGGAGGCCATAAGGGACGTCCTGACGCTCATGAAATTTTAATAATTTTTTTTATGACATTTTAAAAATACCCGAACGCCACCTTTCACATCACCTTAAGTCGCGTGAAAACGGAGCCATCTTTCTGTCCAGTGTTTATTTTTTCGCGCGAGGGAGAGGAGAAGAGGAGGAATTCTAAAAACGCCTCGCCCATCCGTTCCGAAGGAGGAGAGAGAGAGAGAGAGAGGACAAAAGAGAAGCAGAGACCGGGAAAAGTCCATGAAAAATCCCGTATGCCAGAGGGGGGGAGGAAAAGGGCCGGAGAAAATATAGAAAGGAGTTAAAACTTACGTCTATGTAACCCTGTGATGTATTAGTATGATCTCAGTAAACGTAACTTAGTGTGTACTTTTAACGTGTAATTAGGATAACTTAGAGCTAGGGGAGGGTCCAGGGTGCGAATGAGGCGTGAGAGGGAGAGTGAGTGATAAAGAGAGAGAGAGGGGGAGAAAGTGTTTGCGAGCGAGACGCATACAAAATCGCGTTTCTATTTTTCCGATCGGTCGCCGCGGGTTAAGAATTACACGTGTATCGACACTATATTATATCGACCGTATTAACTGTAAGAGAGTCTACTAAACTAACCTACGATAAGTAAATACAGTGCTATTGTTTATTAAAAAAAAAAAAAAAAGGACTACGGAGGTGCTCATTCCCCTCCCCCTCCTGGTCCCTCGCATGGCTCGAGTGTGAAGGTCTCTTTTATTACATCGTATGCATCGCTAAATTGATATTAAAGAAAATTTTTTATTTAACCCCAGGAAAGGCCTCGAGTTAAGGTCGGGCGAAAGTGGCGTCGAAAAGGTCTCGTTTATGAAACTTTTTTCTGAACTGGGTGTACCGAATCGTTTCAAACTGTACAATGTGATTACAGAGGCTGTGAGGAATTTTTGTAGAATTTTTAAAAATTTCTTTATGAACACCTTGATATTTTTTTTTGCCAAAAATGAAAATTCATTAGGGTCGGGACCTTTTGTGTGGCCTTTCATATTCAGGGGGTAAAGTTTCAAACGATTACGTGCACTCAGTTCGGTAAAAAGTTTCATGATCTTTCGGTCTTTCGGAGGCCACTTTGACACTCCCTTAACTGCGCAAACTACAGATCGCCCCGATTTATCGTTACGTATGCGGCGATCTTTGGAGAAGATGGACGAAAATGGCAGACTTGGTGTTATTCCTTCTTTTTTTTTTTTCCTTTGTTGGAAATAATTTTGGGACAATGGTGCGACGATGTGGAAATATTTCCGCTCTTTTTTTTTTGTTCTTTTTCTTTTTATTCGAGCGATAAACCGGCGATTTTTCTCTCTCTCTCCCTCTCTCCCAGGCCTGGAACGCAGACTTCTGTTTACTAATAATTTCGACGTCTCGTTAGCGGGCCCGATACGCAAACTGCCAATTAGTCAATGCTTCGCCGATAAAGCGCAATCTTTGCATTCGCGCGCTCTGATAAGGCCGGCCAAGCCGAGCTCAACAGACGGCTCGGCAATCGTATGACCGATTTCGACCGAAAATAAGGGTAACGGGCTTCTTTATTCATGCAAACGATGTCAATCGTTATCGCGATCCCCGATGCCGCCCACTGATTGGGTGCCGGTGACTAGAAATCGAAAGGAAAAAAAAATAAAAAAGAAAGAGTGAGAAATAAGCCGAGAGGATAAAAAAAGAGGGAGTCTGATAGCGAAATCTCGATCCAAATAATAAATATATTTTTTCTCCGCCTGCTGGTTGCGCAAGGGAATTCGCGATTCGCGTATCTGCCGCCTAGTGCGAAATCGGTGCGATTACGCCTGCGATTCCGCAATCGGGGGAACGTTGGGGTAGGTCGAGGCCAGGTCCACGTTGGCGAGAAGGAAGGAGAATCGCGCGTTTTGGAGTTTTCCCTTTTTCTTTTTTTTTCAAGTCGAAGAGTCGTGGTCGGGGAGAGGAGGCAAGACCTCGGAGTCACTTTTAGGGGACCATTAATCATTTTCGGCAAATCTACCGGAAGGTAATGCGCGAGCAATTATCTAAACCCCGCGACTCCTTGATCCGGAGTTTGCTCACCTGCGATCGAGCACGGCAAACACGGCGTAAACGCAAATTCGGTTCGATAACGAGGTCTCGTATCGAGTTAGGCTCGGAAAGTCTGACTCGAGTCGTTACTTTTGATAATACAAACTGCGGAAATAATGGGAAGCCGAGTTCTAATTCGGCGTTTCTGCCCTTTCTGGGCCGTGCACTTGGCGCGCAACGCAGGCGGGCTCTTTTCGCGGCGCAGGTTGTCTATCCGACGTTTAACCCCTTTTTGTGCTCGCAGTCTTTCTAGACACGTCTTGGTTAATTTTCGAAGCTTTCTGGTGACATTTAATTGCAAGTGCACTTGGCGCGCAACGCAGGCGGGCTCTTTTCGTGGCGTAGGTTGTCTATCCGACGTTTAACCCATTTTTGTGCTCGCAGAGTCTTTCTCGACACGTCTTGGTTGATTTTCAAAGCTTTCTCGTGACATTTAATTGCAAGTGCACTTGGGGCGCAACGCAGGCGGGCTCTTTTCGCGACGCAGGTTGTCTATCCGACGTTTAACCCCTTTTTGTGCTCGCAGTCTTTCTCGACACTTCTTGGTTGATTTTCGAAGCTTTCTCGTAACATTTAATTGCAAGTGCACTTGGCGCACAACGCAGGCGGGCTCTTTTCGCGGCGCAGGTTGTCTATCCGATGTTTAACCCCTTTTTGTGCTCGCAGTCTTTCTAGACACGTCTTGGTTGATTTTCGAAGCTTTCTCGTGACATTTAATTGCAAGTGCACTTGGCGCGCAACGCAGGCGGGCTCTTTTCGTGGCGTAGGTTGTCTATCCGACATTCAACCCCTTTTTGTGCTCGCAGAGTCTTTCTCGACACTTCTTGGTTGATTTTCGAAACTCTCTCGTGATATTTAATCTTTCCAGGATGCTTTTCGTAAGTAAACTGTCGAGTTTTATGCTAAATGTAGGAAAATTCGCCATTTTTGGTGCGGTAAAAGTGGAGAATAAATGAGAAAGAGTAACGGAGGCTGTGGGAGGGTTAAGGACCGGCGTTCGGAGGCTGGGTCCATGGACCAGGACCGATCGAGACCAATCTTGGGAGCGCAAAACCTTCCGGTGGAGCGCGAAAATTGAGCCGGCAGGTGCAACGATCCTAACCTCTTCGAAAGCTTCGCCGAATACGGCCATGTTGTATTTCGCGAGCGGCAGGTGCGACCTGGACCCCGCGGAGGAAATCTCCTCTTTTTTACCTCCGCCTGCCCCTCCTTTTTCAGGAGCCGCGGACAGGGGGAGTGCTGATGGATCCCGAGGTGTAACGGTCGAATCCGACCTTGGTAACGAGAAGAAAAAAGAAAAAGAGAAAGAACAAAAAATCCCACGCCGACGCGACCACCTTAAGGTGATATGAAAGGGGCATTCTATATATATGAAACGTCAGAATATTAATAAAACTTTTTTCCAAACGTTAGCACGTGGTTACAAAAATCCTAAGGAAGAACGCGATGCTTGTGATATTTTATTTTTCACAAAAAAAAAATGTGATCCTGGTCGATATCTTGCTTCTTGATATTGCCAGAAAGATGTTTAATGGTGGGGTCTGAAAGAATATAGTACTGCGTGTTGCAGACTTATCCGTCTAGGTCGAGGAAGGAGTAGAGGAAACTCGGTGGAGTTCCGCGCCAAGTATGTTTTCCTGTATTTTTTGTATTGGAGAAGGGAAAATTGAACCTTCATGGAGTTTATTTAATAACTGGTCTTGCTTGTTATGTGACCAGACAGATTTTGGATTGCGGGGTCTGCAGCTGTGAATATGATGTAGAAGTAAGAGTACACTGGGCCTGGAATCGCGTATCGTGCATACGAATGGCCGCCTTCGTATGCCCCCGCCCCCCTTAATTGATCGATAAATTTGCATGTGAATTAATAATTGTCTTGGAATTTTCAGACACAACGATTACGTATTCCACATAAGGACGGGCCTCCAGGAAGCGAGGCAGACGCTGAAATTGCGGCCTGCCAGGCTTCAAGGAAATTCGTCGGGATGGGGACCTTTGTCGAGGGCGTCTCTCCTTTTTCCCGAGGAGTAACCTCGCGAGGTCGCAAAGAAAATTCGCCTCTCTTATCGCGATCCTCGAGTTCGTCGCACGTGTCGATAATGTCGGCGCACCGATAAGGGGTTACGAAAGTGGCGCCGAAAAGCTCCCGCCGATGAAACTTTCCTCCAAACTGGGCGTGCCGAATCGTTTGAACCTTGACAACGTGAATACCAAGGCTAGAAATGTCATGAAAGAATTTTTTTAAACGTCTATAAGCAAATTTTATAAAAATTTGAGAGTTCATGCGAAAAGCTCCCACCGATGAAACTTTTCTCCAAACTGGGCGTGCCGAATCGTTTGAACCTTGACAACGTGAATACCAAGGCTAGAAATGTCATGAAAGAATTTTTTTTAAACGTCTATAAGCAGATTTTATAAAAATGTGAGACTTCACGCGTGGAGGGACCTTCCTTCTGGCCTCCATATTCACATTGTGAGGTTTCAGACAATTCGGATAAATGTTGATGTTAAATGAGACGTTTTTGACGCCACTTTAGCGTCCCCTTAAATCTGCCACAGAATCGGGCCGACCTGCAACGAATGATAAGAGGAAGAGACGCGGAGGAAAAAGAGGGCTCGGTGTTTTTGCCATTCCCGAAATATTCCTACGCGCGAATGTCGGCCCGCAATCTCTGGGCTCTCATTGCATAATTTATGACGGGCGCTCGCGATGATCGGTTAACCGCACGCGGGAGTTCTCGTATTTCGAAGTAATGCTTCTTGCCCGATGGCCGCGGGTTTCCGGCCGA